TTGTTATCGTTGATTCCAACACACTTGAGGATTCAACTTACCGCTTTGAGTGTGGAAGGTGTTTCTGGGGCAAAAAGGTCCGTTAAGTGTATACGGGCCAAACGAAGATTGTCGCCAACTACATGATCGCTTTTCCAGATGAACCTACCATAGATATAAGCGTCGTCCGTGGTGGTGGGCTTTGCGTGTACATAGTCAACAAAATCTGAAACGATGAGATTAGTGTACACGTTTTCTGTAACAAGCTGCAAGAATGGCAGGTAGTAGAAACTGTTAGTTTGAAACCGTATTTTACCTTGCCGCGTAGGAAGGGGATGCTGTGAAGCACTGCCTTCGCCCTCCCCACGTTGTTGGAGAGGTGACTTGTAGTCTTTGGGGATTGGAATTCCGTCAATTTCCATGCTGGAGGAATTGGGCTTGCGTTCTGTCGTCGCAAATTCGATTGTGAGGGAAGATGTGTAGACAAGTTAAATGAAGAAACCGTTAGGATGGCACATGTGGAATCTAAGAAAGGTTCCAGAGATGGTATCACAAGTCAAATACTATCAAAACTGTTAAGCTTCCTGTTCTTTTGCTTTACTGGAATGCTAGAGGTGACGCGGCGGTGTGCGCAAATATTTATTTATTGTTTGTGGGGGTGCCAGTATCCGTCGTCGCCAACGTCCATACGCCACTTTGTGGTATCCGAATTTGGCTGCAACTTCTTCAGAAATTGCCGTTTAAAGGCAGGTGACAATGGAAGGCAACGCAGGAGCCGAGCTAACCTTACACGCGATGTCCCAACGTAAAGATGGTCTAGGAGCCATTTGGGCGCTCCAGGTGTTCCTTCAAGAAAAAGCAACACTCTTCGAAGTGTAGCTCCCTGCGCTTTCCACACGGTCATGACTAACGCCAACTCCACGGCATGCTGAGAATATTTGAGTTCGATAGGTTTTGGAATCAAAGTCCGCGCTAGTTTGATGTGGAACTTGTTGTGGTTAGTTGCCACGATCCCAACTGGTATAATGATACTTTCCTTTTCGAGTTTTCGACCGTCATCACCAGTTATCCAGTTGGTCTCTAGATTATTTTCTGGAGGCCATGACGTAGCAGGAACGATTTTGCCGCTTTGAGTGATGAGCTGCACATTTATAAAATCTGGTGGATAGGGAAGGTCGATGACATCACCATTTCGAAGTAGCGTGGAAGGAAACTGTTTGAGGATTTGCTCGGTATCATCAATTTCTTCCCATGCCAAAGAGCGCAACTTGCATATTGTACCATTGGCAACCCCCCATTCCACGTTACCATTTCCATTATCAAGTATTTGAGCGCATCCCCCTTGCACGAAATAGCCGAACAGGCTTGGGTAGTCTTTGTCGTTGTAGAGTAACTCCAATAATGCTGGTGGTACCTCTGGAACAGCTTTTCTCCATCTAAATACCACAGTGTTGCTACGAATAGCAAATAATTTGGCAGCACATGCTGTCAGGGCAGCCTTATCAACATTACTGGTAACCAAAATGGTAGACTCGTCCATCCATGCCGGATCATCTTCTACGTCTTGTGCAGTTAGCTCATTTGTGATGCTCCAATCGCCGCATCATCTAGCAGTTGAAAATCAGATTCTGAGTTGGAATCACCAGGATACGTTGGTGGAAGTGTACGAAATCTATCCAGGAGGTTTTGCTGAACCGGGCAGCTGTGAGCTCTTTGTTGAGTACTCAGAAAAAATACCCGGAATCTTCCAAAGAGGTCACGGGCGTGAATGATGTCAGCGTTGGCATTCAACTTGTACATTGCCTTACATAGTGGGGTTCCCATGAGTGCCTCCAGCTGTAAAAAAAATCCCCTCCCTGCAAAATAATAAAGGTGTTAGCTCGAGCAGTTTGTATCAGATTCATAATAGTGATAAGCCTTACCCAGAGTACAGATTTTCCTCCAAATGGTAGATCCGGGTTGTACACCAATCGCAGTCGTTTGTCCATCTTCACAGCAAATTCACTTCCAAGCATAGAAACTTCATCCGTTACAATGAGACCAACGGAGTTATCAAAGCAGAGTCGTAGCTCAGCTAACTTTGCAGCTGAAATGTGATCTCGTTCACGTCCCACTTTAAATGCCAAGTGGCATGTTTGACCCCCAGGAAATTGGCTCGCAGCGGCACCAGTTGGACACGTAATAACAGTCTTCAGTCCCCGTTTCAGTAATTCTTGTTGAAGCTTGTGAATGACAAATGACTTTCCGGTACCAGCTCCTCCGTGCATAAACGTAAGGGTCTGTACAGGATGAGGTCTATCCAAGTTACCTAAGATCCAGTCAAGTACGCGTTGTTCCTCTGGTGATGCAGTCATTGTATCCAGGGTTCCGACGGGTGAAACGTTTGTCAGCGGGTCAGTGACGCTACCGGTACGTAATGAATCTACAACACCAACACCGGTGCATCGGCCATGGTTACATGTGGGGATCCGCTGAATTCTTTTAGCCATCATTTGTAGACTTCTCTGAGGATGGAAAGATGAATTTTCTTGGTGTACACACGTTCGTAAGGTAGAAGCAGGTAACACTTCAGTTCCACTTTCAGATGGCCGTCCATCAATTTCATCAACGCCCATGAGAGAGAGGTACATGGACTGAAGTGCTTCGATGCTGTTCCGGTGGGTAGGATTCCCTAACGCCGCAGCCCTAGTTAACCAATACAAGTAATCATCTCCTCCAGACAGAGTACCATCAGCTTCCGGATCAGACGTTTCGTAGCGGCAACGCTTATCTTGGTTCAGGTCCCTGAGCTCCGCCGAAGGGTTTTCTTTCCATCGCGTAGCATTTCTAGCTCTCCAGTCTAAGCACATTTTTTCATTTTCACTGCTACGAACCCGCTTCTGAATGAAATTATGCACTTGTCGATA